TCGCTTCTCGGCTGTCAACTCGATCGACTCCTCACGAACTGACTAACTCGAGACTAACTATCTCGCACTCTAGACGAGGCACCTACACACTAACTGACTGCGGGCCAGCAAGGTTTATATAGTTTCGGCTTCTGTTCGAGAACATTCTGGGCTAAACCGGTAAGAATTCGTTCCAGAAGGTTCTCCATCCGTCCATGGCATATCCCCAAATGTCGCCAAATGGCGATTTCTCGCCAAATGTGACAACCATGTCTTCCCTTGCCATCTTATGGCAACCCTAAACTTGCTTTGCGGGAAAGCTATCTTATCGCGCCTGGACATTTCGTAACAATATATTGTTACAGATTTTGTATTTAGTTGGCTATTTTTAATAGAATTGTAATTAAAATTGTTTCATTTCCCCGTACAATGCAGCGAGTGACGAATTTTAAGAGAAAGCAACATCGGAAAAGTAAAAATACGAGAGTACGTGCATTTAAATTTAATAAAAGTTAATCTCCGTAATTGATATTTAATTTGAATAAATGCAATTGTGTTAGCTGTAACTTTTGCTTTCCAGAAACCTCGAGAAAATAGAAATTTACCAGAATGTTCTCGTGCACGATTATAAAGCTTTAAAAGGCCGGAGAAAAACATCTCAGTTCTGTTGTTTAATAAGTTGCTGTTGTTTACTTAGCTGCTGTAATTTTGAGATCCTATTAACTTTCGCTGCGCTTTGAATTGTGCTCTATTTAATGTTTTAGTAGTTTAAAATATAGCTACTGATTATATTGCGTGATATTGTGATTTTGTGCGAATATCTTTGAGGGAAAATCCAGCGTTTTTGTTATATTTCTTGTGATAATAGAGAATAAGAATAAATTATATAGATATAAGAATAAATTTTGATAACTTTTTATCGGATTTATGCATTCTATATGTTACGAACCCCTACGCACGCAACAGTATATTCCTCTCCTATTACCTGGCTCGGTGAGCTTAGTTTTTTGTTCTTATATGTTGGTAAATTGTGCAATTTTTGCTTTAAAAGTTATGCTGTTTAAAAGAATTATGCTGTTCTTATGTTCTGTTTAAGGTTTGTATGCCTTTAATCTGCATGAAATATTTGTAGAATTATTAACAATTTAAAAGTTGTTTAAGTGCGATCAAAGATAACGGAACAGCCATTTGTTTACATTTGGAACGTAGCACTATGAGAATTATGTCGGTTTCTGCATCTTTAGTGTCTTTCTGCTGAGTGGGATCAAAAGATAACATTCAATATTACACCGAAAAATCTGCCTTCTTACCCGCTGGCCGAATTGCTTGTTTTTGCATAAAAACTCTAAATTTAAATTATTTTTTAACTGTTTTCGCCATTTTTAATGAAGGTGTTTGAGTTTTTATGTATTTTTGCTTTGCCGTGAGAGAACTAAAATAATTGAATGAGAAATGTATCTCTAATGAAATTCGACGAAATAAGTTTAAATGAAATGGCATAAAAAATGTGTATAATTTATTAGGCCATACAAGGTGCTCACATCAGATTTTTATTTTTTCCCCTTTAATTTTTATTTTATCCCCCTTTTCCCCCCTAGTTACGTATTTCGTGCATACGTAAGTAATTTTATGTGCAATTATAGTATTTTTTTCTGTTATGTAGCATGAAAGTCTAAAGAAGCAAAGCTTCACAGGAAAATTAAGCATACAGGCTCAAGCCTATTTAACATTGAGTGAATGGCTGTAGGATAATAGCTTATTTGGAAGCAGGAGACGGAAAAAATGAGCAATGTCCTCGCCGGGACTCGAACCTCGGAGCTCTCGAATACGCGCCTAGTGTGCTGACCATTACACCACGAAGGCATGAGAAATATCTTATATGCTCCCCCTTTTAAAGGACGACTGGGGATTAGGGGACTCTATCACCAAATCTTGGTAATGGAGAATCATCATCCAGCCCCTTTTTTTAATTCGGGCGCCACTGCAGAGATATTACGTTATTTGGAATCAGAAGTGAAAAATGAGCAATGCCCTCGCTGGGACTCGGACCTCTCGAATACGCGCAGAGCGTGCTGACCATTACACCACGAAGGCATGCTAAGAAGGCGGCAGAAATATCTTATATGGCTATCTGGCTAAACTGACGAGATATCGCCAAAAGTTGCCCGAACTTGCAACCATTTGGTGACATTTTGTCATGTACTGTATAACTGTAATGGTCACTGTAACAGAATAACTGTAATTAATCTATACACGCAACTGTAATCGTATCAGACCTTTAGATGTAACTTTAATCGTATATGCCTTCCAGTAATTTGCAGAAATGGAACTTATTAAAGATTTCTCGGCGGCCAGATGAAAACTATAGAAGACCGTCTAGAGCATCAGTTCCTGACCCATTTAGATCTACCTCTGATGAAGAAAAATTAATTATGGACTTTTACATACGCCAGGACCCAGACGGGGCTCTATAAGGAATCTGGAAGGAGCAGGACTAAAACAGTTACTAATTCCAGAGTAGTCCACTAAAATATCAAAGTATCAGTTTCTGAGTGAAGTAGTAGTTGTTAGTTCAGAGCTAATTTCGGAGTATAGGTATCCGTGAGAGCTCCGCCTTTTAGATGCACTTTGCACTGCGTTGTGTTTAACGTTCTTATTAGTTTGAACTGTAATATGCGCATTCAATCAATACGAACCCGTACGCACGCAACAATATTTACACTTAGCTTGAAACTAATATATTTTTTTGTAAATATATGCAAATTTTCGTTCTTATTTCACTGCTGTTCTTATAGTTTTTTTATGCTACTTTGTTTATTAATTTATTGAATTTTGTGCAATAATGAAGTTACAATTTTTTTTTTTTTTTTTTTTTTTTATTAAATCAAATTTGTAACCACGTTACTGTGTTTGGAAATGCTTATTTTATGTAATACATTGCATTTGGATCCGGCTGAAAGTTATAAATTTTGAATCAATCGACATTTAAATTACGAAGAAAGCTTAATTAGAAACTGAGATATAAGAAGAAATTCAGGTTTTGGCAAACGTTTTTAATCCCGGTTTGGTTATATTATTTAGAAATTTTTCGCCAGCTCGGAGACATACCAGAAATATTCTGAAAATGCATTTTCGAAGTCCTAGGAGCGATTTTCCCCGAAGCTTCCAGAGGCCTGAGCAACCCTATAAATACGTCTGCGTTGAAGCTCAGAATCAGTTCATTTCGAAGACTTAGCCAAGTGCTTCAATTCATAATTGTTTGATTATCAGTGATTACTGCTTTAAAGTTTACTTTGTGAATGATATCGGTAATCAGAGATGTATTTAAAAGGTTAAAGTGACTTCTGTGTCTTTTTGTCCTCATCTCTGTTTTTTGTCCTTCAGTTATTGATAGCTATTTATCTTATTATCATCTACTAATAGCTGTCTATCTTTATCTTATTTTGTAGACTGCTATTTACTTCAATAAAGTGTCAATTTCTTCCTGTGACTTCTATGTCTTTTTGTCCTCATGTCTTCTATGTCTGTTGTCCTGTGACTTCTATGTCTTCTATGTCTTTTTGTCCTTCTATGACTTCTATGTCTTTTTGTTAAAGTGACTTCTATGTCTTTTTGTCCTCATCTCTGTTTTTTGTCCTTCAGTTATTGATAGCTATTTATCTTATTATCATCTACTAATAACTGTCTATCTTTGTCTTATTTTGTAAACTGCTATTTACTTCAATAAAGTGTCAGTTTCTTCCTGTTCCTGCAGTTTAGTTATTGCAGACATCTCTACAAACTTGTAATATATACTAGTATTCAATTAAGCCTGATATTAAAATTATCTTATAAGCACAATTTATTACCAAAAAACACCACTCATTTTTATATATTCTAACAAATTTGTGTTATGGAAGAAAACATCACTACCACCATTAAAATAATCCTATAATTTAATATGAAGAAATTATTATCACCCGCTTAATCCTACTTCTTAGAAGCTATGTATTTTTTCAGATAACTTTTCGTTTTTTAACTTATAAAAATCAAAGCGAAATATATCTTAAAGCTATATTTTGTGAGTACTAGATAACACTATATCTGTTTTGCTTCTTGATTAACTGAATACCTAGAAACGAAAAATATCCTTTCAGTATCCGCATTACGAGCGGAAGTGTAAAACCAATTTTTTTAAATTTTAAGCCGGTTAAATAAAATGTATATAAAACAACGAAAAAATAAAAATGAAATAAATAAATAAATAAGTTTAAAAAATATTTTTAAACAGGACAGAGGATATTATATTTCAGTTAGAAAAGCAAGACGGATAATTTTTTTGTTTTCCCCCATTTCGTAACCGTATGATAATCCTGGCTTTACATACACCTGGAGTTGATATATTGAGAGTAATATAGAAGTTGAACAATCGAATGATACAAACATCATACTTAAGGTAAAAGTGAGTAAAATTATTACAGTCTAATACTAACTAACTTCTCCCTCAAAATAATAATAATAATAATAATAAAAATTAAAAAAAAAAAAAATTGAAAGGTAGGTGACGAATTTCTTATCATTTTATTTAAATATTAGATTGCGGCTATAAGACCTGTACAGTGTTCAGATGTAGATTTTAAAAATCAAAAAAATGTCTTTTTATTACTCACTCCTATAGGGCCAAAATCCGTAATACATATTTTAAGTTAAAATTAGGCAAATTTTGTTAAATTCCAAATTTGTAACTTCGTGTTCATTTTGCCCCATTCTTTGAGTAAAATTAAAAGTCAGAAAAGCATTTATTTTAGCAAACGTTTCATAAAACAGGATGAGAATTAAAAACAAATTTCATTCCCATTTCACTGGGTTTTAAATAATTAACAATTGCAATAGTGAAGCGTTACTTGTATATCCATTCACGTAGCAAATCTAGTTTTACTCTCTCAACGAGAGAGAACTGCAGTTTGATTTTCAAATCAAGATACATAGTTTTACCTAGATCTGTTAAAAGAAAAAAAAAAAAAAAATAATAACAATACACATACCCTCGGCGGGAGTCGAACCCGCAATCCCCGGTTTAGGAGACCGATGCCTTATCCATTAGGCCACGAGGGCGACAACTGAAGGTGTAAACTTAGCAATAACTCTACTAGACTTACGGTAACTTTAGCCATTAAACTTAAATGAGATTCAAAGCGATTACTTGATATTTTATTCTTAACATATTTCTCTATCATACTTTCCAGGGTACACATTATAGCAATACACTCAAGAATTATATATCTCGTCATAGGAGGCACATCATATGAAAAGTCATCTACACATATTAATGATCATTAATATGTGTAGATGATCATTACTACATCTGTTGTTGATCATCACTACATTTGTTGTTGTCACTTCTATCCTACACATATTAATGATCATCACTGCATCTGTTGTTGTTGTTACATGCTCACTTGTCTGACCATAACATCAGCTTAAGTCCACAAAATACCTGGTGGCAAGGAACGCTAGTTTCACACATGTCGATGGCAACATCCTTGAGCACCTTTTGGGTGACAGTGCGATTTTGCTCAGTTCCGCCCCCAATTTAATGGAGTGCACCCCGGGGGGGGACGGCTTCAAAGGTCTCCCACCCCTCTTTCCCTATCACCAACAACTTTCGGCTCGCCGCATACTTAGATTGTCCCCATGCCGCACGGACACTACACATTTATAAACATCCATGCCTTCTCCGGGATTCGAGTCCGAGTCCTTCGGCACGGCAGTCAGCGATGCTAACCACTATACCGGTTGGGCGGTCATCATTACATCTAAACATATTATCATCTAACATATGGTCATCATTACATCTTAACATATTTATAATAAAACTTCCAGATGCTACACGATTACATATGGTACATGCTACATGGTTATCATACAAACATTACATCTAAACATATTAATGATAAAGCTTCCACATCGTATACGATTGGTGAGCAAATTTAACAGAGATGATTCATTAAAGTGTTTATACTACTTCGTCTTCTGCCACGACGAATCTCCAGATAGCTGTCAAATAGTGACGAACTTTCCGAGAAGAGTTGTACCATGGGAGCCTATACGGCACTGTGTCCAGATCCTCCAATATTTGCAGCATCTAGTTTGGAGTGCATTCACTAACTCATGGAAAAGTTATCTAAACATTATGAACGGAAGACATTACAAAAACATGGATGGATTCAAGACCTGAAGAAGGGTATTCAAACTGTTTTTCTATTGCGTACGCTTCATACATATTGATCGTTAGTATGTTTTCATATCCTTCATACAAATTGTTTAGTATGTTTTCATATCCTTCATACAAATTGTTTAGTATGTTTTCATATCCTTCATACAAATTGTTTAGTATGTTTTCATATCCTTCGTACAAATAATTTTTCGTTCGTATGTTTTCATATCCTTCATACAAATTGTTTAGTATGTTTTCATATCCTTCATACAAATTGTTTAGTATGTTTTCATATCCTTCATACAAATTGTTTAGTATGTTTTCATATCCTTCGTACAAATAATTTTTCGTTCGTATGTTTTCATATCCTTCATACAAATTGTTTAGTATGTTTTCATATCCTTCATACAAATTGTTTAGTATGTTTTCATATCCTTCGTACAAATAATTTTTCGTTCGTATGTTTTCATATCCTTCATACAAATTGTTCTTTTGTATGTTTTCGTATGCTTCACAATTTTCGCTACTGTTTTAATTAGTTTCGTTTCGTATATTATGCATCTATAAGAATATGTGAAACGAAAGCCAGAATCTAATACATAATTGCAGGGCCAGACTCATTGTATTTGAAGGGGTTTTCTTGATCTCAAAATGTCTTGATTATTCGGTGCGATGCATTCAGCGCCACGGGATGTCGCCCTTCCTTAGCTCTCTTAAAGTTGCTACTGCATGATAAGTCAATGGAAATGAAGGCCCTACAAAAGCCGTTTATTTCACAACAGAGGAACATCTATGATCTACGTGCAATAAGTTGCTATAATATAAAGTAGTTCATGAAAATTGTAGTTTGCCTATTTAAGCTAAAATGAAGCATTTAATACGTGAGCTTCTGCCACCCAAAGCCAGTTTATATATATATATATATACGTATATATATATATATATATATATATATATATATATAAACTAGGGAAGGGCCGGAACTTTCGGGTGAACTATTATAATTATAATTAAAATACATTGAAATGGTTCATCGGCTAATTCTGGGTACAGAAAAGCAAGGAATTTTGTATAAGAGATATTTCAATTAATTTCAAAGTCCTAACCCCTGATGAAGTGACACTGAGATTGCTTGAATTCTTCCTCTGTTTTTGTTCATCTTTCTTTACATTTCATTAATTTTTTTAGGTGGGGTTTTGCTTGTTTGAAATGTTATGGTTTTAACATTTTTAATTCTTTGTTGCATTTATATGATTATTTGAAATTTTATTAATTATAAATTTCAATTTCTGGTTCTTTGTGAAATATTAGTTCTAAATTTCTTACTTTATGTCTTTAACGATAATTTTTCTGCAGCTTTATGCGCAAAAATACTAGGCATGTTTGTGTTTTGTTTTCAAAAGAATTGTTTTGTACCCTTCGGTTCACGGAAATATTTGGCCTAAATTAAATTGCCAATTTGACATCGCCTTATTACTTGAGTAAAGGACGAAACGCCGTCGTATTTATTTCTTAATTATTGTTCATTGAACGCAAGTTGGTTTGTTCCCCTTGAAAAGTCAACTAATTTCCGATCAATGGCAATGATTACTTGCTTTTAATTTAATTTCTTTTTGCAATTGAAATTTTGTTATTCATGATTTAATTCAAGTCCCCGTTAAACATTTTTAACAATTTACATTCAAATTACTTTCAATAAAATTCAAATAGAATAAATGCATTCTTTAAAATTCACTCTAGTATTTGTTTACCATAGTGACACTCTGGCGCAAGGTTCACATAACAGTATTAAATTTCGTTCATATTATAACTAAGAATGCACAAAATTTATATCATTTAAAGAACAGAATTATCTAATCGTTGCCACATGTTCTATTCAAATACTATAATAAAGCTAGAACGATGAATAAAAGAAATTAGGCAAACAAAACAAAAAAGAAACAGTTTTTCACAGACAATTGAATACTTCTCATTCAATTAATTCAGTTCTCACTTCGCGACAAGGCAAAAATACATGAAAAGTCAAAATATCTATATTAAAAATTTCGAAGTAAATCTTAAACACTTATTTCCTGCGTTATCTTTGTTGTTGCGAAGCTTAATCTCTCTAGATTGGCAACAAATCCACTAGTCTGCTGTTTCAAATGTAAACAATCAATTGCTTCCATCAAAAAAAAAAAAAAAAAAAAAAAAAAGGCTTAGCGGCACTTAAACAACTTTAAAATTGCTGATAATTCTAAAAATATTGCATACAGATTTACTAAAGGCATAAAAACCTTAACCGGAAGATAAAAACAATATAATTCAATATTTTTAATGCAAAAAATGTACAATTTACAAACATATAAGAGTAAAGAAACTGAGATCACTGAGCCGGGCAACAGAGTGGATATATATATAAATATATTCTTTTGTTACAACTTTTTCTTGGTCTTAGCAAGACCCACTGAGTTTGTTCATTTCTTTTCCTAATTTTTTATTTTTTATTAATTACAGGTTTTCTTACAGTTTTCTAAAATCTATTATTTTATAATTAAATTGTTAATCTTTAAGCTTGCAGGCCCAGCCCGTATGTTTTTGTATTTTTAGGACTAATAGCTCATCGCTATTTATTTTCGTTTTGATTTTAATTTTAGACTAGATTTAGGAAGTTTTGATTTTGATTAACATATGGACGCGTCGGGAAATTGGAACAGAGAATTGAGACTATTAAAATTTCCAAGACACTTTGTCAAAAATTTTTTTAGCGAAAAAGTTTCAATTGTCTGTTTCGGCGAAACGCGTAATGGGGTTAGCTTAATTCGACGTTCAAATAAATGAAATTTCCCTTGAAAAGCCTGTTTGGAAGTCGAATTGGGCTAATTTACCATTTTCCGCTTACTTTTTTAACTTTTTCAGTTTTTTTAATTTTATTTATGTTTTACATGTCTAATGATTTGCTTTTCATGTGTATTAATTTTTGAAAACGTTTTAAACCTTTTGGAGCAGCAGCTCTTGGTAACTTTTAGGCGAACTTTCTACAATTTTTATATAAATATATTTATATACGTTTGGTGCGGCCAAAATACGAGGTGCACATCTGCATGTTATAGCAGTCCTATATACAAAATTTCAACGTTCTGAGGCTACTCGTTTTTGAGTTGTGCGAGATACGTACGTACGTACATACGTTCGTACAGACACCACGAAACATTCTCTTCAGAATTAATTTTAAAACAGTTTTATAATTTTTTTGGAGGAATTTTATTCTGTCTAAACGAGTATTTTATTCTGTCTTCACGTACAGATATCAAAAACATCGCTAAATTGCATTCGAAAGCGGTCAAAATGGATATTTTCGTTGAAATATGCTGCCTGCAACTTTTCGCGATTACAATACTTCCTTTTTACTTCGTACAAGGAAGTAAAAAGGGCATCATCATGTATTCGAATTAAACGATATTAAAAATACTATAATTTTTTAATACTAGATATGGAAGTCTTGCTGAAAACATAAATACTCTGGGGAAACAAGCTTTCTGCTTCGTGAATGTTGGCAACAGATCCACCTATTGCCGTCAACAAGTGCTTCGGACCTCGTTGCACTTGCCGCAAATGGAAAAGTGATGCTCTGGAGATAAGAGAAGCGATGGTGGGCGACTGTCGATAAGAGGTGTCGAATTTGTCATTCTCACTTCTAGCTGAGGGAGGACATACGATAAGATAGCGGGAGTATCTACAAATTACGAGCCTTGCAGAATGTGCAAAATCATTCCAAAAAAAGTCTTGGCGCTTGCATCTTGTTTCGTGTTTATCTAACACTGTTTCCGGCGAAACTCGGGCTGCTAATAAGAATCGTTTTATGATTCAACTCTCGACGGTTACCTGCGTGGTCTGCATCGATAGATATAGCGGTGGT